ATATTAATGCTAGCGAAGAAGTTTTATACAGAAATTGTAGATTTCGTCGTCCTCTACAAGAAAGGTCCTATACAATTTTCCTGTAGATTCAACGGTTTACGAGTAATTAAGGAAAAATGAAATTTTTTGCCAAAAGTTCGCCGTTTCGACGCTGGGATGGTCGGATTTTGTCAACATCAATAAAATGCCAAATAATCATATGTAACTCGTTAAATATCGAAATTAGAAGGGAAACAACTTTTATTTGAAGCATTTTTCGAAATTCTGAAGAAAAAAAATTTTCGTTGTCGTCAATACTTAATTAGATATGTCCTATACTTTTTAGCACGTAGCTATTTATTATTAGCATTGTTCTTCCGACGTCTGATTTCTTTTTAATCATAGGAAATGCGTTTTTCTAAGGTACACAAACTTTTGGGGTTGACTGTATAGCCAATCCATCCTTATGTAACAAGAAACTTATAAACTATTCTTCGATCTTAGACACTGAAAAACAGAAAATACTTCAATTATCGTTAATATTGGAGTCTGAAAATCAGGAAGAAAATAGTTAAACACAGTGGAACTTGTTTATTTCGGTAATAGCGATATGATTTAGGAGGTGCGGATAATCCCATGAAGCAGCTCGGAAGACAGATGCCCCAGAAGAGCGAGTAAATTCGCTGTAATTGTAAATCTATCAGGCGGGCGACTTATTCCGTCATTAATCGCTCACCTACATCGTGGAAGGATCGCCGGCCGCGAGGCGCGCATATAAACCACGTCTCTTGTCTTCCGTTTAACGAGCCACTCTCTCTCATCTCCGCTTACTCCCTCGCGATCGAACAACTTTCGCCGGCAAAAAGACGGGGAGCTTTAATGTAACGCGGCTCATTAAGTCCCAATCGTTGGAGTTTAACGGGCCACGTCGCGGCGGGGTCGTTCCACGAATCGCTCACCCGATTGAAAAACCCTGCTCCTTTTACCGAGGTGATCCCTAGAAAGCCGCCTACTCGTTTGTCTTTCAATTAAGCTCCGAGCACTGCCTAACTTCGTTGTTACACATTTGTATTCTTCTCTAAAATCTAGGAACCCGTTCACTTGATAGCCTCCATCAATGATTTAATTAATAATTCGTTAGGGTGAATCTCGTAACATGACTTCAAATAAAATACTTTTGTTGTACGATAAAAATTTTTAAACAAATGTTGCATAGTTTACGGGGGGACATGCAGAGCTGTGATCTGTTCTTTTGCTTTTTTAAACAGAACGCTTAGCGTTGACATGAGAAGTCCGACGCGGTTTCTCCTTTTCTATCGTCGTTACTTCGTTCCCCCACTGTCATTCTCCTCTTCTGCCTTACTTATGCTATCCACAGTGCCTCCGCGAATGGTAACCTCCTCCTCTATGTAAAATCGTGTAAATTCTTTGATATAATTCTGAGAATGTTCTTTTTTTGGAGTTTCGATAAAATACCAAATTCTGGGTAAAGAAGGAACTTTCTCCGCACCATCCCACTGTGCCCGGTACCAGGATTGACCCTTTTCGTGCCTTTGGGAACGACCCTGCCTTTCATAACGATACGTAGGTAGCGATCTTAGTGATCGAGCTATCATTTGGTTGACAGTCGAAATATGAGATAAAGGGTGTGTGTTTCGTGGCATCGCGCGATGGGTGAATCGAGGGGACGTCGGAAAAAGAACGGTGAAAAAAAAATGGTAGCCGGTGGCCGTGCAAAAACGCGTCTCTACGGCCGGCGGCGTCGGCGACGAAACTCTTCTTCCAGGAATCGCAAGGGCCTCCTTTCCGCCGCGGTCTTCTTATTTATTCCTGTTTCTCCGTAACGCGCATCGCCTCGCCGCTGGCCCGTACGCGCGCGCGAAAGAGGAACCGATGCAACGGAACGGAGGGAGACGAAATGCCACATAAATTTCTCCCCCTTATCCTACGGACGGGAAACTCATCTCGCGCGCGCTCTCCGTCCGTCTACTTCCTTGACGGGATATCCGTCCACCTCTCTATTTTCACTCCTCGCCTCTTCAAATAGATGCAAAAGGAGACACGGCGCTTCGATCCCTTTCTCGACATCAAAGGACGTGGAAGATGTTAACACATTACGGTTTTTGCGGTGCGAACCATCTGTCTGCGTGATGGGGAACATTATGTTCCTTTATTTATCTCTCGTCGATTGAAAACTCTCAGATATTCTATTCCCGACGAATCCACAGGTAGGAAATCGATTTTCTTCTTAATAATAATTACACCTCAGTTTCATGCAGAATGAAACATTAATGGTAGACGTTCTAGGTCCTAGGGACCCTCCAGGATGGGTCTTAAAAATGCAATCATCTACTTAGATTATACATAATATGATTTATTTCGGCCACCTGGGCCTAGAAATGGACGAGGATAGTACAATACTATTGTCACACTCACCCATAAAGATTTGTACATTTTTCTTAAATTATCTCATTTCTGTTCTTTAATCACCTACTTAAAAATGCGCCCAAACCGGAAGTTACATATTAAATATTCAAAACGCGGAATGTCAAACTTAATAATTGACCATGAACTCATTGTCAATATATCAATGAAATAAAAATTCATAATAATAAAAATATAAAAATGTAGATATTGGATATTATCTAAAAAACTAAGAGATGTAGGAAACGTAGAGGTGAAAGTAATGGAAGGCTGAGTGGAGGAGGTGGAAGAGAGATGTGAGTAGGGAATGTAAAACCAAGTCCATTTCTGAGCCAAAGAGGCTGAAATAAAGAATTTATATGAAAATGTCGATAATAATAAAATAAGGCTATATTATTTTTTATAAATATTTATTCCACGAGTTTTGTATAATGACTATTATACAATATATTATATAATGACTATTCAAACATCGCTCCTGCTATTTTATGCAGACTATCTCAGCTAAAGATCATCTAAAATCTAAATAACCCTTCTATTTTTATTTAATGGAAAGTATTTATATTAGCAGAACGACGTTCATGTCTGCACATTTACTTAATGATTTCCGAAGTGTGTATAATTTTCCCTATTATAAACGGAACCTCGGAGGAAATGTGCGAGGACCGAGAGTCGAGTTAAAGATAGCCGGCTTATTATTCTCGCAACGGGCCGTTGTCTTTGCTTACCGGCGAACGGAATTTGGTTGGGTTCGGAACGGAGTCAGAGGCAATTGGTAGGGCATTGCTGCGTTAATTAAGGGTTGTTACAAGCCGGCTCCGGGCGAGCGACAGCGATCTACCCGACATACATCTGTATCTCATTAAAACGAATCCAGTAGGCGCCAGGTGTAACGTCCGATACGCGAAGTATATATTATCGTCGCGTTATTTAGTAGCCTGACCCTAGCATCGACGCTGGATCACCTTCTCGGTCCTTTTACGTTCCGCTCGGCCGTCTGCGTTAGCCCGGCAACTTTATAAATCAAAATCGTGTTCCTCCTTCTTGGAACCGCGACGCTACGGTGTCGCGTCTCAAATAGAAATTAATTAAGAAGTTTGTAAACTTATAGGATCGCCTGTAATCGACCGTTCATAAAAAAGAATTGGTCCGACGGGTCCGTGCAATTCTTATTCTCCGACTCGCTTGAAAAAATAAATCGCACAGTGTGAAGGGATCGTTTAAAAATCGTTCGTTCTCAGGGGGATAAGATTCGAAAATATTGGGTTGGCAACTAAACGATTGCGGATTTTAAATAAAAAGTCTATCGACAAACTCCGCAATTATTTAATTGCAAACCCAACAATTACAAATCTCAATCATTCATTGAAATGTTTGATTAAAATACTAATAATAAATCAATTGAATTCAATATTTAATCATTCATCTGCAACCCTGATTAAGAATAATTGTCTCGAGCTGTACGTGAATTGCGACGACTCGAATATAATAATTCTCCGTATCGGAGTCGATCCTATTCCCGTGCAGAGAGTAACTCGAATCAACTTGCTGCAGATCAGCAACAACAGCAGCAGCAGCAGCAACAGCAGCAGCCGCAGCAGCAGTCGCACCAGCAGCAGCAGCAGCAGCAGCAACAGCAGTACGGGGAGGTGAACCAACTCGGTGGTGTTTTCGTGAACGGCAGACCCTTGCCGAACGCGGTCAGATTGCGAATAGTGGAGCTCGCACAGCTGGGCATCAGGCCGTGCGACATCTCGCGCCAGTTGCGGGTCAGCCATGGTTGCGTGAGCAAGATTTTGGCCCGGTACCACGAGACGGGCAGCATATTGCCCGGCGCGATCGGCGGCAGTAAACCCCGGGTGACCACCCCGAAGGTGGTCCAGTATATTAAGCAGTTGAAGCTGAAGGATCCGGGGATCTTCGCGTGGGAGATCAGGGACCGGCTGCTGTCGGACGGGGTGTGCGACAAGTACAACGTGCCCTCGGTCAGCAGCATCTCGAGGATACTGAGGAACAAGGTCGGCGCGGCTACCGCGATCCATCATCATCCCCATCACCCGGCGCATCACCACCATCATCACCATCTGTACGCGGCCGCGGCCGCGGCAGGGGCTGCTCTCTGCCCCGTCCCGTATCCACCGACGGCTTATCACGCGACGCCGCCACCCGCCGTAACGCATCATCACCATCACCATCATCATCAAGGTTGGTAAAAGAATCATTCTTATTCTTTTCGAGCGAGAGCTTTTGTAAAGTATGGTTCCTATTTAACACTGAACCTACGGACATTTTATGACCGCTTTTTAAATAAACATATTCTTTTCCAGTTGATTATAGATAATACAGAATGTAATAAAACGCAAAATAATTATCATATAATAATTAAATAATATAGTAAAAAATAATCTCAAAAGCAGTTATTTTAGTAGGTTTAGTGTTAAAATGCAATGGCCTCGCATAAGAATATGACAAGTAGACAGATTCTACCAACGTCATGTCTCAGTTTCTGTTCACTGGCTCAATCTTCTATAATTTAGACAAGTATTTGTGATCCCTTTAGTTCTGCTCTAATTTCACATATTCTTCAGTCTATATTCCTTTAATTTCACTTATTACATTATTCCATTGATTAAAAATAAGTAAGACCACCAAGAACAATCTTATAGAAATTCGATTCGAAGTTAGAGTCCAAACGCCCATCGCTATACGTGAGCAATTGGTGGAGGAACGGTAGGTGCGTCGCCTTTTCTCTGCTCGCGTCTCTTAACGACAGAGAAAGTAGCTTTAAAACCCGGAAATTTAATTGATTCTCTACAAGCGCAACTTGAAACGTGCGTTCAGTTCTAGCAACAAGCTCGCGGGATATCAGGCAACAGTCGCGCCTCTTTCTTCCATCCTGATATGAGCGGTGAATAATCGAATTCGATTGAACCTCGTCTCTCCCTACCAATTCGGTATACCGGTGCGTTTCCAGTTGGACAGATGACGACGACGACGACCACACCGAGCAAACTATCGCCCTCGTCCCCGACGATCGGCGGTCACCAGCCGATAGCCTCCGCCGGTTTACAGTGGCCGAGTCCTCACACCGTCCACGATATCCTCGCGACCGGCTGCAACCTGACCAACTCCCAGCCGTCCACGTCTCCGTCGCCGCTATGCGCGACGGTCAACAACAACCATCACCACGGTCATCATCATCATCACCAGAACAATGACAACGTCACCAGCGAGAACGACAACGAGGAGACCAGCGGTTACCATCACCATCACCATCAACAGTATTACGCGTCCGCTCTTTATCATCATCATCACCATCATCACTCGGACGGGGTGACGCCGACAACGGGCACGTCACCCGTGCTCAGCGTGCAGTCGATCATAATGCAGTCTCCGGCGGCGAGTAGTCAACCCGCCAGTCCTTGTAACTGACAATCAGAATTAGAGACGCGAGTGATGGAAAAATCATTCAGTCCTACGTTTACGCTGGAAAGTCGATTTCCAATCGAAATCCTATTGGGAGTGATTGCGAGGGTAAGGACAAGATAATGAGGCTGAGATCATCGTCGTCGTCACTTGGCCGGGGTGACAAGACGAGGTCACCTGTGCTTAACGTGTAATAAAGTCGCTGGCGACGAACGGACAACCTGCCAGTCTCTACACCTGACAAGAGCAGTTGATAGAGAGATAAAGACGTGAGTGATGGATAAATCGTTCCCATTCCACGAGGAACGGGGTACGAGCGCGTATCACGCTGGAAAGACTACCTAATCGATTTGTAATTAACGGCAAGATAATGAGGCTGAGAACGATATATTATTTTACCAGTATTATTGTATTTTTATCGCAATTTGCCGAGAGTGCCTTTTTCGAGTGCCATAAACAAAAGCAATTGTACATTTAATTATTATATTTGTAACAGACTGTGAATGTTGAGAATTGTTGCGATCTTTGAAAGATTTACGAATATCATTAGCTTAGATCGTTTTCCGTTTTGTATGTACGTGTTGTTCGAACTTTAGGTTTAAATATAATCGTTAAGAAAGAAATCGTTTATTCCCGGATGAAGAAAATCAAACAACTCCGCCGACTCCTAACGATGTTATTTAATTGATGAAACTGTACCTATAGTCCTCTGCCATGCTTTTTTATTGTCATTGGAAATACATACATATTTTCCATCCAATTGGACTGTGTCCGTAATTTCGTTCTCGAATTCTTAGAGGAACCGACGAAGATCGAAAGTGACGACGAACAGGTAAGTGAAATATGCGAGGGACGTATTAGAGTAATAGTGCGATGATGAAATTAACAGATTAATTAAAATTAAATTACTGATTAAATTGCCTACTGTCTGTAATTTTCTATAATTAAACTAACATTCTTTTCGCGTCTGACACTGATACACCTCCTAGCTCACGGCTCGGTTGGCACGATGGAGAGACTCGAGAATACAACGGTGTTTCAGATCCTCTACAATTCCACCACTTGGCACGCTTTACGAACGTTCGATTTCACGCGGATGACCGCGGTGCATAGCTGAACGTATGAAGGTGTGTATTTTAATTGTATCGTATCCTCGTGTCGTACCATCGTTGCGTAATCATCATTGCACGTGAGGAGTATACACCGCCGTTCATAAGTCTTCTGACGTATTGCGAGGCTGTATCATCCGTAACGAGACCGATCCGTATCGGATCCGTACGTCGCACAGGCGTCGGAACCCAGCAGAATGAGTGCAGTGATCTTCATTATAAATTATTAACCCTTTCGCGACGGATGCCGTGTATATACGGCAGTCACCTAGTGCATCACAGCGGCTGACGCCGTGTATATACGGCAGCCAATTTTTGATCCACAGGGGCTGATGCCGCTTATACACGGCACCACTTATCTTACTTACTTTTACTTAGGCGAAAAGTAGCAAAGTATAGTACAGGTGTGCCGTCGCGAAAGGGTTAATTCATTAGTACAGCACCGATTTTGCTAACTTCCGATGTTTCAACCTGCATAAAAGGGGGAGACAATAAAAAATTGTCATTTAAAATAACGAGACTTACTGATTCCATTGAAACACTTCGCGAGATAGTAAACTATGGCCGCTATTCGGAGTCGTTACTTATATTTAAGGAGCCTTATCAGTGTGATTGCCAAAAATTTAGGTCATTTTTGGGAATTTTTTTAAACTCTATGGATGTATTTGCCTATAAATGAACTGTGTAAAATAATTTTTTCGTACAAAAATAACTAAAGGCGACCAAGTTATGCGTTATCTCCCGAGATGCGAAAAAGAAGTTTGCTGACATTTTTTGCTCCTCAATTGCTGACATCATACAAATCGCTAGGGTGCCTGAAATGAAAAAAGACAAAGACGATCTTAAACTAGAAGGTATTCTCCGTTGTATGGTCTAGGATATCCAAGCTATGTTGAATACTGACTTGAAATTGTAGTATGATATCTTTGAAGGTATAAACTTTCGAAAAATGCAAAAAGAGTTCGATTTTTTTAAATTTCACACTGTTAAGGCGCCTTAAGACAACCTTAAGAATAAGCAACGACTCTTATAATTCTAATACCGACTTACAATTGTTGAAAGTAGAAAAAGAATGGGTTCGTTAATGAAGTATCGATAGACGTTCGATTTAACGTCGGAGAACTTCCGCTGGCGCGAGGGGCAAGGAAAAACTGACGGGGATTTAGTTGTCCGCACTCTCGCGCAATCGAGTTTCCAATCGATCGAAGTACAAGCTACTTATTCAGTTTTATTGCCGGCTCTAAATCCGCGTAGTTTCAATTAACCACGTGCCAATCTTATATCCCATCGCGCAGTAGAAAATTGCATATATCGAAATTAGTGTTAGCATTGCCTTCATCAACAGCGCCTCCGTTTCCTCCCTACAAACACGTATTTAAAATATACGAAAGAACCTGTAACGAAACTCGCTTTAAAGTATCAATCTTCAAGATAAGATAAAAAAGTATCTGAACAAAACTAAGAATCGAGTACTTATCAATAAAATATCCAAATTGGAATTTCAATCAACGCCTCATTTTCGTTACTTATCAGGAACGATGAAACGTTTGTAAAAGTGTCCCTTCCTAATGATCGTCTCGTTTTATAGGCTTCGATCAGGCAACGAATAAAAATGCTCGTAAAGCGCATCGGGAATAATAATTCAAAGCTCGTAAAGCTCGTGATACGCGTGTATACATGTATGTATATTTCATCATCATCATCACCAGAACAATGACAACGTCACCAGCGAGAACGACAACGAGGAGACCAGCGGTTACCATCACCATCACCATCAACAGTATTACGCGTCCGCTCTTTATCATCATCATCACCATCATCACTCGGACGGGGTGACGCCGACAACGGGCACGTCACCCGTGCTCAGCGTGCAGTCGATCATAATGCAGTCTCCGGCGGCGAGTAGTCAACCCGCCAGTCCTTGTAACTGACAATCAGAATTAGAGACGCGAGTGATGGAAAAATCATTCAGTCCTACGTTTACGCTGGAAAGTCGATTTCCAATCGAAATCCTATTGGGAGTGATTGCGAGGGTAAGGACAAGATAATGAGGCTGAGATCATCGTCGTCGTCACTTGGCCGGGGTGACAAGACGAGGTCACCTGTGCTTAACGTGTAATAAAGTCGCTGGCGACGAACGGACAACCTGCCAGTCTCTACACCTGACAAGAGCAGTTGATAGAGAGATAAAGACGTGAGTGATGGATAAATCGTTCCCATTCCACGAGGAACGGGGTACGAGCGCGTATCACGCTGGAAAGACTACCTAATCGATTTGTAATTAACGGCAAGATAATGAGGCTGAGAACGATATATTATTTTACCAGTATTATTGTATTTTTATCGCAATTTGCCGAGAGTGCCTTTTTCGAGTGCCATAAACAAAAGCAATTGTACATTTAATTATTATATTTGTAACAGACTGTGAATGTTGAGAATTGTTGCGATCTTTGAAAGATTTACGAATATCATTAGCTTAGATCGTTTTCCGTTTTGTATGTACGTGTTGTTCGAACTTTAGGTTTAAATATAATCGTTAAGAAAGAAATCGTTTATTCCCGGATGAAGAAAATCAAACAACTCCGCCGACTCCTAACGATGTTATTTAATTGATGAAACTGTACCTATAGTCCTCTGCCATGCTTTTTTATTGTCATTGGAAATACATACATATTTTCCATCCAATTGGACTGTGTCCGTAATTTCGTTCTCGAATTCTTAGAGGAACCGACGAAGATCGAAAGTGACGACGAACAGGTAAGTGAAATATGCGAGGGACGTATTAGAGTAATAGTGCGATGATGAAATTAACAGATTAATTAAAATTAAATTACTGATTAAATTGCCTACTGTCTGTAATTTTCTATAATTAAACTAACATTCTTTTCGCGTCTGACACTGATACACCTCCTAGCTCACGGCTCGGTTGGCACGATGGAGAGACTCGAGAATACAACGGTGTTTCAGATCCTCTACAATTCCACCACTTGGCACGCTTTACGAACGTTCGATTTCACGCGGATGACCGCGGTGCATAGCTGAACGTATGAAGGTGTGTATTTTAATTGTATCGTATCCTCGTGTCGTACCATCGTTGCGTAATCATCATTGCACGTGAGGAGTATACACCGCCGTTCATAAGTCTTCTGACGTATTGCGAGGCTGTATCATCCGTAACGAGACCGATCCGTATCGGATCCGTACGTCGCACAGGCGTCGGAACCCAGCAGAATGAGTGCAGTGATCTTCATTATAAATTATTAACCCTTTCGCGACGGATGCCGTGTATATACGGCAGTCACCTAGTGCATCACAGCGGCTGACGCCGTGTATATACGGCAGCCAATTTTTGATCCACAGGGGCTGATGCCGCTTATACACGGCACCACTTATCTTACTTACTTTTACTTAGGCGAAATTATATGTATGTATTTAATATGTATAGCAACAGGATATAAAAACAATGTGGCCACTTCACATTCTTGTTAACGTATTCTGTTAACGGTCTTGTAATAATACTATATGGATCGAATCGGGCGTAACTGTCGATAACGCGAACCGGTTGATTGATGCTTCAATTCCGATTAATCGAAACAGTTTCTTCGTAACCGAAGATAATGATACGCGTGCAATGTTTAATGAGCTGCGATATCGTCGTTAATGCGTGCAATCGTTACCGCAGAATTAATCATTTCCTCTTGTTTTTCAGGGCAATTGTATTTCTTCGCGAAGCGTCGAGCTTCAACCCCCTGGGCATTGGTTTATCGTTACACTTTTACTAAGAGAAATAACTATCAGAAAAATGAATGAGAATGCCGATTGACAAGATTTACTCAATTGTCAAGGGGCTAGATTCTGATAGCGATCAACCAGAATGCCAACACTGCTTAAATAGTAAATTGTCTTTTTTTTTGTAAGTGAACGATCGTCTATGGGTGCGTGGGTGCGCATGGAAGCAACGGATTATAAAAGGAAACGAGCCGACTCTGTCCAATCAGCGTTGATCGAGCGTAAAATCCCTCCTCTACGACGAAATTAGACACCCACTCGGTATCCCCAGCTTCACGGGCCTCGGCCAACATGACCAATGATACTTTTTCCAATGGAAACCTTGATTCAGACGCCATTTCTATAAAACTTATAATATCAACTCTTCCTCATCGATTCTTAAAGCAAAAGTCGTACGACACTATTGCTAAAACGTGTCCTTCGGTTCTGGACCGCGTGACTTAATTAATACGTATAAGAATAATCATACAGAATAATTTATTACCCTTGCGTTTCATTAAGATTGTAGGAGCCGTAAGATCTCTGCCAAAAGTTTAAGGCATGTAATAAAAAGCTGTGTCCAGTATTTGAAGCAATGAATTTTTAGAGAGAATGATATTTACAGAAGAGTAAGGTTTATCAAATTGTTCCATCTGTTTTTCTCGGGCATGAGAAATTTTTAACACATAATTTCTAATATTCTAATACATCTTGGCATTTTTCTATTGGACCGTACGTGACTTGAAATTACCTACACGTCCTATAATTCTTACTTTTGAATACTTTTTATTGTATATCTTAAATAATATCCTACAGTGTTTTATTAATGTAATAGCTAGTAAATATTCAAATTTCAATGCTTTGTCATTGTTTTTATGTAAGCTTTACATTACCAAGTATAAGAATAATTCATTACCCTTGCATTTCATTAAGCGATATTCTAATTTTCATTTCCAGTTTATTAAGTGAATGCATTCTTGCAGTTTAGCAAATCGCGATTCATTTCCATAATAAGTTTCCTCAACAGGTGTAACGACACTAAATGACACATAAGGGTGGTACGACACAAGGACATGATATAACAGCATCTTTTCTAGTTCGTCAAGTTTCACCGTCGACAGCGGGTTTAAAAGTACAAGCTATAATCGTGTTTTTTCTCTTGACGTTCAGACGCGTACGACATAATGAACAGGCGTTTCGCCGTGACGGTCTGTCCCTTTGAAATACGAATATCCCATTTCTATCCTGCGGTAAGATACCCCGCCCCGATACTCTATCACCCTCTACGTCAAAGGAGCGACAAAAGCTGCGAGCACCGCTTCTTTGAAAGTCGTTTCAGTGTCGGCTTTCCCCGTTCTCATTAACAGCGTGCCACTCTTATTAAAAGAAAAAGAGACTCGGCGTCTTTCCGTTCTTTTCTGAATTTTCACAGACCCGCTGCTGCCTGTACATATTCTCTAAATCAAACCGTACGAATGTGTTTATTACGACCGTTTTAAATTTTAATAGAGCCACCTTTAAATTGTAAGAAAGATTCCACGACGCGTCTCGGTAACTCCGTCACCTCCCGGTTGATACAAGAGGAGCGGACAGACATTGGCCGTGAATAGACGCATAAATTACCGCGTGAAACGTGCGTCGACGGGTTTTCGGCGAACCCGAGGATTCAAACGCGAGATAAAGGTGCCCTGAAGACGTGTAAGTACGCGTCTATCCGATGTAACCCCTCCCTATTTAAAATATAGCAAGCTCTGGTGGCGTGGCACGCGATGCTCGCAAACTCCGTCGCGCTCGATTACGGCCTGTGCTATGACGAAGATACGCTAATAAATTAACGGGTAAATAAACCCTCGGCGATGGAACGGGCCGGCGCGTATTTGCCTCGCTTAGAATAGAATAGAATGTAAGTATTATAGGCGTATGTATACGCGTAAAGCGGCGATTAATGTGCCAAGATTTCATGGGGCTGGAAGCCGAGGCGCACGATTTCCCAGGAACGAGGCGAGATAGCTAGAGCGATCGGATAATCTTCCTATACCTGACCCTCCTTTTACGCGGTATTTCTCTTTACGAGATTTTCAATTTACCCGGTTTTCATTAACAGGATTTCTTTTACCTTATTTTTTCGCAGTTGCGACTAAAGAACTTCTCAATCGTCGCGAGGTAAATTAACAATTTATATAGCCTTTCAATTTAATATTCTTCACGTCTCGAGGTAGATTCTCTTTTCCATTCGGTGTACAAATAGCACGCAGACCCCTAGACTCCTGTCGGCTTCTCTCATGTCTTCTCGGCGCGCCGTGTCGCACGCTTCATGCTTCCGCGCTACTCGATGTCACAGTCCTCCCGTTTACTTTTAATCTACGTATTCATTTTTTATCCCTTTAAACTCCCTTCGATAGTGTCCGGAAAGAATGTTGGGCATTCGTTTCGTTTATTCTTCACAGCATCTTTTCTGGAGAGTCGCTCATGTGATAAAATGGAAGAATAAAGTCGTAAATGAAATTTGACTGTAGGCTGACTCTAAATGTTACTGTATTTCCTATTCCAAAAAGTTGTGGTAAGAAACGGGAAGAGCGGAGTGCGTAGACGCATTAGCCATATTCCGAGGTTGCATGGCGGAACACCCCTTTCATACCGTTCCCTCCTATCTTTGAATATCACCGGATAGAAAGTCCCGCATACTTCGCCGGTAGAGATCCGCGTTCTGGGTATAAATTAATTAACGAATTGCCACGTTCCTTCTACTTCCTGGTTCATTCTTTTCCTGTTTCGAATTTATAAAACACGTGTAATGCAGGAGTAGGGTGCACCGTTCTCTTCTTGCCAATTTATAATTCCTTTTTATTCCTTATTCAATAAAGAACGAAAATAAAATTGTTCTCTTTGTTTTACAAACAATTATCTATTCATATTGCTACGGAGAGAATCACCCGCTTTTATTGTATCCGTATTGCGTACTCGTTAATTAAAAAATGAAGATGTACAAATTTGCAGAAAGATCCGTACTATATGCTATTACACCTGGAGATATGTCCAAGATTGGAATTCGTATCATTTCATTGCAGCGTACACGAAAAACATTCTACGCTTTCTTTTCGTTACGTACTTATTTCGAGACAGACATTGATAAAAAAGAATTAGATCAATAAATTATCGTACATCATTTACCCAATCTACAAATGTATCGTATTAATTCACGACAGTTTAATCAATATATGTATTTGTTCGTCCACTACGATTTTTTTTCTGATCTACTTACAGGATGACAGTTAAATAATGCGTTACAACAGTCATGATACAAGTATGTAACATTTAAAAAATATGGGACTTTTAATTAATCACTCTTGATCGTAGCGTATCCGCTCTTAGACATAGTAAGAGAAATTTCAACAGTTCGACACGTTGCGAAGAAAATGAGCATGTGGCATGAGACTGGGTGAAGGGAATGAACTTGTACTTCTATACGATAATAAGTAAAAAGTGAAATTTCTTTTTAGTTTTGTAAATTGTAAAATTTGTCCACACGCAGGAAGTGTCGTGTAAGAAAAGCTCCGTTTCCTTCTTCGTTGGACCGTCCAGTGTACGTCTTATGTACAAGCATCGTAAGTACACTTAATACTAGCCATTATTTTCATCCTTCGCCTCGTCCACCTGTACCTCTTCCTTCTTCTCAAGATCGTTCGCGCCCTCGAGAGTCTCGTCCATCTCGGACTTCACAGGAACATCCGTCGTCTCGTTACTCTCTGGCTCCGAATTCTTCTCCGGATTCGGATCGCGGTTCTCCTCCCCTTCCTCCGTCGGCTGCGGAACTTCCGTCGTAGCACTTAACGTCGTCGATCCGTCGAAGTTCTGTTGATGTTTCCCAAGTCCTACTTGTACTTCTATCAGTTCAAGTTCTTCCACCAACGCCTTCTCTCTTCTCTCGATCTCCTCTGTAACACAAAATGTCCACGTGACATTAACTTCTTACGATTCGCGCGTAATACGAAGCTCATTGAAATACTCCTACCATGCAACTCCTTCGCAGATTGAACCAAAAGGAGATCGGTCTGCGGATGTTTACGTTTGGGTATATAGTAAATGGGAGGCTGAGCTCGAGTCTTTATGAACGAAGCGAGTGGCAATTGCGCCGCACGCCAATCTTGAAACTGTCGACTGCGTGCTAACTTCGCTTCCAGTGCCCGAACTTCCGCCAGCTGTCGTTTACGAGACAAAAACAATTGTTGCCTCTCTCGTCTCAATTCCTCCTTTTCTCTCCTCCTGGCCTCTTCCACTCTCGCTTCCACCTCTGCCTTCTTATCTTCCTGCAGAACAGTATCATTTTTAATTGCAGACAATGAAGTATTTTGTTAATACCAATGGTAAACGTACCTTTGCTTTCAACTTAGTTTCCTCCTGTCGAAATTTTTGTAATGTACCTAGTAAAGCCCCGAACATTCGTTTATTCCTCTGTCTGCTACGCTCGTCTATTCTCTCGCGCCTGATAACTTCTTGTCTAGATGGAATTTCTCTCGGAGTTGCTATCACTCTTGAAGACACAGCTGGCTATAATAAAGATTTGATAACAGTGACAGATGTTATCATAAAAAGAGATTTACATAATATTACCTTGATCACATTATCATCTTCATCGGCACTATCGTCATTATTGGAAGGTACACGTGCACTTAACCGACTGAAAACTGTCTTTGGTTCCCCATTTGTTCCCTGCCATCTCCTCTTTCCACCAGGTAATTCATTATTCACAAAATCTGATACGACCCGTCGTCTATCCTCTTGTAACGGCCTCTTCTGTGATAATCTGCTGAAATCGTAAATAAACTAAATTGTAATTACGATTAAATAAATGATGCAGGAAATGTTCATTATAAGATCATTATATCTCATGCAAATACGATGGTATTTAAAAGAGAATCAATAAAATAGAAGCTCTAAATGCTGAACACAGGTTATATTTATGGTCGACAGTGTTTCAGAGATCAATGAATTATTCAATGACGAAATGAATATTTTACGAAGTGACGTTCGTTTGAGATAAAATAGGATACGAATTATTGAGAATTTAACCTGGGTGGTGGTTGAATCGGACCGTTTTCTCCATCAGGAAGATCCCGGCCCAAGATCTTTCTGATGCTTCGATCAAGCCCTCGGAGACCATCCCGAGCTGCTTCTAGTTGCGCTTCTAACCTGTCGGCGCCCCAGGCCTCTTGTACATCTAATTTTCTCATCTATTTCAATTATTCACGTTCACCGAAATCGCGAAACCAATTTATTTAATGAATCACAACGATTGTTGTCGAACCACATCCACTGTCTTTGCGGATGCCATCTTGTATTCCGTACCTTTTCCCCATGCCTTTTCCCAAATCGATAATCCGCGGGATTTTCTTTTACACCTCTAGTAATATTCCTCTATATAGCCAATTAATTATAATTAATTACAACCTAATCAAAATATTTCTCCTCTACTTAACGCTTCTTTTAAATGAGAAGCCGGAGAAATACTAATTCTTCGTATACTGGATGATTATAATTGCAAACCCAAATGCACTTGAATCAGTGCAGTCTATACAATTCAAAGGATCGTGACGAACAGCAGCAAAATTGATCCTGGAACTTATTTGCGATATGACAGTACAGATATTTCTCTTTTGCAATTTTTCATGAACATCTTGAAGGATAATCGAATCGAAAAACGAGAGATAAATAAAGATATTTGATTAAATCATTACGATGGACGACGTGTATAAGCTTTACGATCTTAACGCGTCGCCTAAGGTCGACATAAGCGGATATTTCAACGACTATTTGAAATTGTTAGTGCCCTCCGATCGTTTTCTACAGATGCGAAAAGATGACAGTAATATTACTTCACTGATGGGAGTCCAGCTTGAGAAAGACGAGATGTCTATGTTAACAGACTACTGCAGGTATCGTTATTTTTATACGTATTGCAATCTGTTTAGATTGTTTTCGAAAGAAGAGTGCCTCTTCTTTTAGTGTCAATCAGTTGACCGTGGAAGGAGAATGTGAGAAAGTTGTTAATACTAGGAAAATGAGAAACAAGAAAGTGTTCGATCCCAAGGAACCTGAAGATGTGGATTTGCAAACTTTACAAAACTTAAGGAAACGATGGAGTCAAAAGACTAAACACGCTGTTTATAAATACAAGAGCGAATATTTTATAGTAAGTGTTCAAAATCATAATAAATATTCTCTTTGACTAATATGTCACCTCAATTTTTAGAATGAAACTAAAAAGGAAGAAACAAATAAATTGTGCGCCATCCCTGGCCAAGACATTCTCGTATTTGTCAGAGTATATCATCCTTTCATGAATCAGGTGAAGAACACGCCAAAAAAAGTATTCGGTACAACGCTTAAATTAAACAATGTCATAGCCATGTTAGGCTTTCAAACGCTTGCTCAGTTGAGAGATAAAATTTCATGCATATCTGATTATAGTATTTCTAGAGAATGCAGTGAAAATTTGAAAAATGCAGTTGGACCAATGGCAAAGGTGATTCATCTTTCAATAATTCTGACAATGTGTTTGTAATTAATTCCAATATTTGTTCCTGTAGGATGTATATAAATCAGGGTTCTTCTTCATAGAAGATACTTTTTATAATGATACAAGGTGCTCGACGAATGTTGATTATAGTAGAGGGATCATAGAGTGGGCACAGAGAAAACAAAATTTAGGACCCTTTAAAACTGACACAATGGAAAATACTAGGATAGATTCTTTACATTTAAGGTTCGGCTATCCGTGGGTTTACAAACACCAAGGTGGTTGCGAACATTTAATCGTATTCAGTGACGCTAGGTAATTGGACTCACATAGAGTAACTCCATGGAACTGCTTCCAATTACGTGGCTCACCTCGTACAATTTAATCTCTCATTTTAATCGTTCTTTAGATTGATTAATTGTGATGACGAGGTGACAATATCTGCTTATCCGAGGATAGTACGAATAAAACCATCGTGCTCAAAATTTTGCATGATATGCAGCACGTATAATGTTAAGTGGATCACATTGGATCACGACAGGATCCCGCATAACCCATGTTACTTCTGCGATGATTGCTTCAAATCTTACAATTACGTCAATTGTAAGAAGGTCGGAGAATTCAAAGCGTACGCGTACCCGCAAAACATCGAAGCAGTGAGAGGACACATTAAGATATAAAATAAGTATTTGAATTAAAAATGAAATTACTTTATTACGGATCTCAAAGAATTCAATTTTCTCAGATTTTCCTTCGCGCTGTTTAGCTCCGGTTTGATTTCCAATGCTTTCTTGTACATAGTTTCTGCTTCGTTTAATTTATTCCATCTGTGATACAAGACACCTAGATTCGTATAGAACATAGGATCCCCTGGGTTCTTCAATATCGCGTTTTTAAAATGCATCTCCGCTTCCATGAAGTTCCCAACTTTCCCTAATATGTTTGCGATGTTAAAATGAATAGAGGCATCGCCCGGTAAGAATTGCAAAGCTTGTTTTGCTTTCTCCAACGCCTCTTCACGCATACCTACACATTTAAATAAACTATATTCATATAATGTTATTAATCATTTTTACGTACCTAAATCGTCGAGAAGCAGTATCATGTTGGTCCATGCTCTTCTGTGCGTGCTCCTTTGCTTAGTAGCCGATTCCCAAGCTCTTAACGCTTTATCATAATTTTTCATCTCCAAATACTGTAATCATAATTAATCGATCATATACGATTCTTACATTTTTAGTTGATGTTACTGACCAGGACTCCTAAATTATAAAAGCAGTCGGGATATTTGTTTCTGTGAGAAAGCGCAGTTAAATAACTCTTCTCCGATTCTTCGTACTTCCTTAACGCCGACAGAACGATACCTAAATTCATCCATGCCGTAGCAAAGTCTTCCCTAAAATTCACAACGTTTCCTCTCGGCTCTCGAAACAGTTTCGTATCGTTAAACTTACTGTAACTCGATAGCGCGTTTGAACAAACTCTCTGCTTCTAAATGCTTGCCCTGATCTTTCAGTAAGTTTCCGAGATTGTTCATAGCTTGAGCGTACGTAGGGTTTAATCTGTTTAACAAGAATATGAATCATCGTTCAATTCTCAGTTTCGTTTTTACGAAGTCTCGTACCTTAAAGCTTCCTTGTATTCATATTGCGCCAGAGTAGAGTTCCCAGAGTCAGCGGCGTTTTTCGCTATGTTGTAATGCACCTTGGCATTCAGCGGGCAAACGGGCAACGCAGATCTGTACAAAGTAGTTTCAGTCTTCCATTGTTCGCTTCTTATCCAGGATCTCGTGAAGAACAACGTAATTAAAGCTATGTAAGCCAGCAATAAATGTTGCATGGGAATTCGATTACAAAGTTTCTCCAGGCCTATGATAACTAAGAGGCAGTAACCGGCAGAGGGAATGTATAATGTTCTCTCTGCCAGCACGAAGCCAACGTTGAAAAAAATGTTGCTGGCTGGTAGAAACGGAATAATGAGCATTGCAAGCCCCATAATCGAGTGCCTGTAATCCAAGGGTTATTTTTATAAATGTTTTATACAGTCCCATTAATATTCGGGGACAAACTTTAAAATTACCTTAAATATTTGTCTTGACGAGGACTAAGAATATACACAATGGTAACACTGAGTATTACCCAAAACAAGAGAACAAAGAATATCCTTTGATCGTTAAAATTGATTAAAGGAATGCAGCCCATTGACCAATCGAAACACAGCCACTCAGGGCATATTAATAGCCACAGATTTAAACAATAAACGTAGCTGTAATTTATCGCACGTAAGAATGTATTGTTCATAAATGATGCTGGATTATCCACAGACTGAAAACTCGGGGCTTTGAAGTCCATTACACTGAATCTTGAAACCATGAGTATTAAGCCAGATGCAAGAAGTATAAAGAGTCGGACTATCAATTTTTTTCTTTGCCTGATAAAGTTTTCTATCTGCTTGTATGATGGTTTGACTTTTATGATAGAAACTACATCATACGGAAACAATTTATTTACTATTGTTATATCGTATATACAGCAGATCCCCTGAAAATTAATATTATTCTAATTTGTATTAAGAATCGTGGGATTGCTATTGCTTACCACTGCAGTAATTCCAATTTCTTTGGAGAGCATTGCAATTGCAATGAAGATAACGCAACCGCACATACTGAGCCATCTGTTTATCAGTCTTCTCGCGTAAATTGAATAATAATATAACATAATAGATATCCACATGAATAATGCACACAACAATTCTGCTCTTCCTACAATTCCTGAAACCTATAGTTTTAGATAAATCACACAGAAAGTATGTATTCCTGTTTGAAACAAAATGGATCACGTACAGCTTCTGTATGTACTGGATGTACGCTGAACAATGCCACAGTATAGAATGCAATGTTCTTTCGTTCGAATCCCAAGAGAATATTAAGTACTGGTAACATTAATATACAAATGATAGTATGGAGAATTATGTTTACTATGTGAAAGTCTTGTGCCACCAGACTTCCTCGAATCCAATAGTGTAATCTAAAAATATCATAATCAGAATTATTGAGACGTACTAGATTTCGCTATTTAGAAGACGTTACCTGAAGGACAAGATTGTAAATGGTCTGTATGATTTGTGACTTTGCTTGTACGTCAATCTCGTGCCCCAGAAATCATTTTTAAATATGTCCATCAAGGGGCTGGTTTGTACGTCGTCGTTATGGATAATAGCTTCAGAATCATCGAACACAAATTGACCATTGTAGCTGTTAGCGAAGCACAGAGACAGGGTGAAAATGGTAAACACAGCAAGTGGAAATGGCACATCTGTAAACGATGCGATTGTCAGTTTCGTTTATGAAATGTAACATCGATGTTTTTAATTCACCTGGCAATGATACATTCGCTTTTCCAGACATACTGTTTGTTTTTCTATTCACTATTCATGATTATCTCAGAGAGGAAATGAAAGTTCTGAACAGTTCTGACATTTCGTGATTCCCATACAAATCCTGCGCTGGTGTGCGCCGGTACGCCAGTATCAAAACGATTCCCGACATACACGCATGCAAAAATCGAATTAGTCAAGTGTTATATGAATAATAAATTTTTGTCCTCTGCTCGACGTTGACACTTTGACAGATATATAAACATTTTAACTCTTTTGTACTTTTCTTGTCATTTTCATAGATACGAGGAAACATTTTTATATTTCAAGATCGTGGCCAGGTGGGTCGGGAATCGTTTTGGGAAGGCGGCAGACGGAACTTGTGGAACAGCCCGAAAAGTACTGTTCTGGTGGGGGAATATATTATTCTTTGTTATATTGTATATATAAGGCAAATACAGTTAATCTTGTAATTTCAGCAACTTTTCCGCATTTCCTCCTAATGATTGCTCTTTTCTCTTCTTCTTGTTCTCATAGTGCTTTATTTTACTTTCTAAGCTTTCTGTAAAAGAAGTGTTTCTTTTATAGTGATTCCCATTAGTATGTCGAGAATTAATTACTTTAAGTACTAACCGCAAGTAGGACGTTCCATTAAGTGTTGATAAACTTTGGGTTGTACACCGAGTAATAAACAGTCAGGTTGAGAAGATGTATCTTTTAAATCGACCAAATCCTCCAAGTCTGATAGCATATTTTCAATCATGACTGACCTGTTAAAATTTCAGATTCGTTATTCATACTTTCGTAGAATCTGCAAAAATATTAATTATCTAGTCGTTAATAAGAAGGATATTCCTACAGTGTATTAATCTAACATCTGTACATACTTTATCGTGTACAGGGTCCAGTCTTTTTGCAAGAGTTTAATCGTATTCCTCAATTCTGTTTTATCAATGTACCACTCGTTGGCTTCATATTCACAACACCAAAGATTCAACGGTACTTCGTGAGCTAAATTATATTGCGGTTTTCTAGGACATTTTTCAATGTCAAGAAGTTCCAACATGACTTCAGGTTTTTCTTTTTCTTCGCCGACAAGAAATAGGACGCCCATTAAACAACGAATTTGATGCCACAGGAATGCTTGGCCCGTTACAATCATTTGACATATATCATATCCTATAAATAATATCATAGTTTCATTAATCGATATTTAATTTCCGCATTACCAATTGGTGTTCAAGTGAATTAAATATATAATCCACAACCCTGGGTATAATCATTACAATTACCTGGAACATTTCTAAAATGTTGCCGATATATACAAACTTTCGCGTCAATTATTTTTCTTGTATAGCTAACAACACCGTTAGCAACATCCATTTTACAAACATTTCGAAAATCATGTTCTCCTATAGTGTATCTAACAGCTTTATCCATAGCATCAATATTGAGATTCCCTCGGGGGAAGAAATACTTGTAAGTTCGACTTTTACAATTAAATCTTGATGAGAAATCATCGGGCACTGGACACCATGCGATGCATTTTATACCAGGAGGTAGCAATCTATTTAGCATCTTGCAATATGGGAGTTCATCTTCCACTTTATGTTGATCCTGTCTATCTAATTTGCTTCTCACGTCCAGAGATATCACTTGTGAAAATGAACTTACACCTTTATCTGTCCTGCCACATCTATGATAATTAGACGATTCACGAGATTCTATGCAACAACTCTTTATCAGAGCTGCAAATAAATGCTGTTCTACTGTTTCATCTATGCTTTCTTGTACGACGAAACCATTATAAGTCCACCCGAGGTAATAGAATTTCAAAAGAATATGTCTTTTATTGCACCTGTAATTTAAATTCAATTTATACATGTAGTTTTAGTAATCAGTCAAATACGTCGGTATACCTTGAGAAATCAAATGGTTTCTGTGATCTATGAACGTTATTTCTGCTCTCCAATTTTCCTCTATTAGCTATTGCCTTTAATTCCTTGTTCTTTTCCTCTAATCGTATTATTTTCTCTATCAATTCCTAAAAAAAAGGGAAAGCATTATTTTTAAGACTGTGCACTCGAACTAATCATATTTACCGATTTATTAAATAGTTCAAGTTCCTCTCTGTGTAAAACTTCCTGCTTTTTCATTTTAAAAATAATCGATGTATACAGTTTTTAGTTTTTGTACAAAGACAAGTATTAGAAATGACCAACAATCATAATAGCCTCTGTGATCATATCAAAACATCTATTTTTCTCATGCTCGAGGTTACGTTACAGGGTGCCCTTAAAAACGTACTATCATCAGTCGGTAGTTAAGTGCTGCAGTCTTTCACTTGCGCATTAGACGCATATTCAAAATTTTAATAATAATTTTATTTTACGGTAGTAATTGCCTCAGTCTTTCTTCCAAATACGGATTTTTTAGAAACGTGTTAAAATTTTATGCATGCAGTGGTTATATTTTTTGCACATTCAGTTTTCCTAAGAATGCATATAAACAATAGTTTATTACTTTATATATACCAATTAATGTAGAATATATTTGTTAGTAGCGTAGCATTGTAGAAACAAGTATACAAAGTTTTGTTATGTACTACGTAATTTATTTTCAAAGACTAAAAATTTATTTTATCAATAACACAGGAGCTTAATAGAACTATGATGACTGAATTATGAAAATATGTTAACATTGTTCAGCGATAACTTGTGCGCGGCGTTTATCCACGCAATTAGAAAATTCGTCAACTAAACTGGAACACTTGAGGATTTCCTTTGGATTTTCTTGGTAGCACGCGAGTACTTTATCAGAGGTGCCTTTACATGGCTGCACAGCATCTTCAATGCTTATACCCTTCTTGGCTGTAAAAAAAGTGCAAACATGATTAAGAAATTAAGATACTACATCGGGTCGATCCAAAAGTTCATGCCTGATTTGAAATAAGATCGCCTTTAAAAATTGGGGATGAACTTCTGCACCGAACTAATATTATAATACTAGGTGCACACCATTGATGTATATTTCCTCTGTCGCTTTCTGATATTCCGTTTTAAGGATATCATTAAGTTTTGCGTGAGTTTGTTCTAAATTCCATAAGCGTTGACGCCAATAATTATCTAAATTACGAAGCTCTTGCTCTTTCTGCTGCTGCATTTTAAGAGCGCTCATTGTTAAATGTTGACACGTAACAGATTCAGAATTCACCGGCGTATCACCACTTTGATAGAATTGTGGCGATACAGCTGTCGTAGAAGGTGATTCTGTTAAAGTAGAAGATCTTACTTTACTTGTTGCAGGACTCTCGTTCACTTTTTGAACTAATCTGTCCACAACCGATTCGGAAATTCCAATAACACCTATTTCTTCATTATTAATAGTTATCTTACGAGCACTTTGTCCAGAGCCCATATTAAAAGTTTAGGTTTATTTTTAAACAAACTAGGGATTGCTTATTTGCAAATTTTATTACCTCCAGTACCATAAATTTGTTATGGCACTGTTACTCGAACTAGGAAACTGGATACCTGTAAATCACACAAAAGTAACATGAGAAAAGATATTATTTGAAACCAGTTTGTAATACATTCATTTATAGAAATCATATTAGTATGTAATATGACATTTTATTTTTACAATAAATTCAAGACTGATTTTCACTCATAATTTTAGAATTTTATTTTTTAATATTAGGAGGATCACATGATTTTAACATGTTAACATTAGCTTTCTATGATAGTAATACATCTTTCACCATGCTACGTTGGTTATTGTCTTCTTAAACTTCAATGACAGCCATTCTTAAATATACATATATCTAAATGTTCATACATTTTTTGTTTTAATAAATTGTCATTAAGAGAATCCAAGGTTCTGGCATTGCAAATGTGCAAAATATTAATATCACAAAAAGTGTATATCAGAACTTTATGTACCTACGTTACACGGTCTATGCTAAGCTTATAACCATAACAGAATTATATTAATTATTTTCTAGCACATATTAAGAGAATTATTGCAGTAGATATCTTTTGTTGATAACAAACAGCAGAAATATAAATACACAATTATTGTCATTATTTTTTAACAGCAATGTCATAATTAAATACATGTTGAAAATATATTACCGTACTATTTTTATCGTTATCATTGGATTGAAACATTTAAAAGCATAACGAGCATAACGTATCTATACAAAAAATACTGAAGAAGGAAATATGTAATATGTAATTGTATCTATACATACACACAGTTCTACCATGAAGGTAAGTTCACAATTCTCGTAGGTGTGAATGTGAGCAGAGGAAATCATGAATTTTTATTTGTTATTATTAGAGATAAATAAATCAATCTCAATACAAAGAATCCTTGTTACACTGATAATGATTACGATCGGTTCCAAATGTTTCCGAATTTCTCATATCGTTCAGTAGAACAGTAAAGTATATATAGCGACAGATCTTAAAATAATCTCGTACCCATCCACCTATTTGACATACCTACTCGTCTGCTCAAAAGTTTGGAGCACTCCTCTATACTTTTTGAAAACAAATGATTTCACAGATATGCAAATGTTTCTTTGAAAGTGTTGCACATTATATTTTACAAGAGGCATGAATTAATATATTGAACTGCCGGAAACAATCGAAAAATTAATTTCCAGAGCATCATTTCCCAAATTATGTCAAGCAGTCAAAGGAGAGAGGATTCTCCTCTAAGAAGAAGCTTTGTACAGCTTTATATGCTACAAACGTAAATAAAATATATCTATTTTTAAAAAACGGTTATTATATATTCTTCTTGAAACTCTAACACTTTTGAACAGCAGATATATATATAGTTATAGTAGAAACAGTATTAAGAGAGGGAATCTGAATCTCCTCTCTTGTTCTTAATGAACAAAAAGTGGATGAACCATTATATATATATAACTTCTAGCAATTTTATAAATAACCCTTAGCGCGGTGGTGACAACCTTGCTACCAAGTTTTCTACATACCTTACCTCGAATTTACATGCTAAAATTACATTCGTTGGGTGCAAATTCAGTATCGAAATATTTCGTTTGTTACGGAGAATTCTTAATGCAAATTCGATCGTATATGAAATACCTTTGCTTCTAACGTGATACACGAATACGAATATAATTACAAAGGTTTTACGGTATATAATTATTTATGTTTTTACATGATTCCTGGCGCAAGTGCCACATCATTGTCCCGCCCCGGTGCGGTGCCTGCCATAGAAACGCGCCTGGGGAGGGATATCTTCTCTTTCTCCGCTGATGCATGCATGTGTATTTGTTTGGAAGGAGTCAAATGAACAGTACTTTGAACTGTCGTCGTTATCTGCCTGTGGACATTAATTACCGGTATGTATTTTCGTACAATTATCTCTGCTACTGTTAATTTACAATAGTTAAAAATACCTGACTATCTCGTGTATTTTATACATTTCTATTATATATGAAAGTCTCTACTTGTTCCGGTTTTCTTCGAAGTGAACTACTTCTGATATTGATATTTTTAATCCGGTTTATGCGAATTTATCGCCGTTCTCCATTTGTCACGTAATTATAGATATTAGTAGAACACGACTGATTCTTATTAATTCTTGCATATATTAGCATAGAGAATTTAAATAAATTTAGATAGATACAATTTCAATTATGGATAAAGAGAAAGTAGAAATTTCGGATTGAACGAATGACTAACAATAAGTACATTACAAAACATTGGTAATCCTGACGATGAGTCAACTTATCTCTGCTAGTTGACAGGTTAGATCCTTTTTTGAATCTATCCTAATGATTAAATTAACTGTTCTCGTGGGACACCTCTAATACGTGACAGATAGAAATCAAGTAGATAACAATCCTCATTTATCCATAACAATCCTTATTTTTCTATACTCTTTCGTCCAACGCATTCCTCTTCATTTTTTATAATACATCTACGTAAATCTTTTTTCTTCGTCTTTTGATGTTTTAGATACTCGAACAAAAAGAAATAAGAAAGATGAGTTTGCAGTGGGGTTTAATTGCCGGATTTCTTTACACCGAGATCGCCACAGTTCTGTTATTGATCTCACCATTATTATCTCCGATCCAATGGCAAAAGTTCTTCAGATCACGATTTTTAACGATTATAAGAGAAAGGGCATCAATATATTTCTTATTCCTGATCGGCATCTTAATCTTGTTCTTGTTGGACGCTATTAGAGAGATGAGGAAATATTCTACAGTTGAACATACAGATCACAGTATGCATTTGGATGCAGAAATGCAAGGTATATATTTCTCTTCGTGGCTAGACTGCAGACGTTTACCCAAATTGCTATTTTTATAATTAAAAGTAAAGAAACGAATTTCTCCTTTACGAAACGTATTTAAAATCCACGAATAAATTAAAATGTATATTGCGTTTCTTTAAATTGTTAAAAATTTCCATAAATGCATAAACATTTGTAGTCCACTGATGACAATCTACTATCCTGAAACTTTCACTGTAATATGTATTACACAGGTAACATGAGATTATTCAGAGCGCAAAGGAACTTTTATATATCCGGTTTTACTCTTTTCCTGAGTCTTGTTATACGTCGCTTGGTGATGTTAATTTCGACGCAAGCTACCTTAATAGCGCAGAACGAGGCATCTATGCGGCAAGCTCAATCAGCCACCACGACAGCGAAGAGTTTATTGTCGCAGAAGGCTGGAGAGAATGCACAAAACGATTCGAACGAGTCGTCGGAATGGAAGAACCAAATTAAAGAGTTGCAGGTGAAGAATCAAGAATTGGAGCAACAGCTTTCGAAGGAGAAGAAAGACCGAGATGCTGTCAAATCGCAAGCCGAGGCCCTTGCTAAGGAATACGATCGCTTGTCGGATGAACACAGCAAGTGTCTCCAGTCAGCTGGCGATAAGAAGAGTGATTAAATTTTCGTTTCTTTTGTTTTCTATATTATTTCACATCATAAA